GCCACGGCATGTCCCGCATTGTACCCGTTCGTTTAGCACCCTCTGCTTCCGTGAGCAGCTTAATCTGCGCATCAACACGATTTTGTAGGAGAACCGTGGCACGTAGCTGGAAGACATCCCATAATGGGTCTTGTTCAAGATTTTCTCGGAGCTTCACGGTATCGAGTTCCTGCTCTTTCCAGAAAGATTGGACTTCTCTCTTGCCATCGGTGGTTTGTCTGACCTTGAAGTCTAGACCATCTTCTTCGTTGACTACGACGAGCCATATGAAGTCACTTTCCCAATCTATGGTACCGTCTTTCTCAAAGATGCGGAAGCCCGGTGCGACCTTGGACACGTAGATCTTCGCAGGTCTGAGGGGGTCGTCGTCTGGGATATCGAGGTCTAGAAAGACGACCTTTGCAGACGTCATGGCATCCTCGAGGAATCCGTACGAAAAGATGTTTTCGCATGCGCCTTTGTCGTCGCCATATCTATGTTTGTGAGCGAGTATCCTCCGATTCGTCATGATGACCTACGTGATCGTTATCTCATCACCAGCTTTAACTTGTTTGCCCTCTCGAAGTAGCAATAGACCATTCCCGTTACGATCAGTCTCGTACAATGCGGCCGTCGCATCACCAGACGCGTGGTTTGCCATGTCGACGCAGGGTACCATGCAGTCACCAGTACCGGGAAATTCCAAAGCTCTAGATCTGTACATGGCATCGGCGCACATCCAGTCGTCGAAAGTCAACATACCGTTTTCTTCATCCCACCAGTATTTTTTACACCAGCTGATAGACTCTGTAGCAGTCCGCAAGTTTTCGAATTCGCGCAATAAGCTGTTGAGCTTTGCGCTGACTGCAGGTTTGAGCGTGGTTCCAACGAGAAGCTCCTGTTCTTCCTCGCTCCAGAAAGTGGGTAGCAGCTCATCTGGAAGGAACTTGACGTATTCCGTAAGAGGATTGAGCACGCCAACATCCTTTGTATCGGGGCAGCAGATGGTTGCTTGGAGGAGTAGAAAAGTAAGAACGGCACCTCTTGTTGTCTGTTTCATGTTAGTGCCGTGCACATTTGCATTTCTTCTGGAATTGCCACACCCTTCCAAAATCCCCAAGAGCTTCGAGAAGTTCGCGTAGATGATGATCGGACTTTGCGATGATTTCAATATTCTGACGAGAAATGATCAACTCCTTGGGCACGACAAGCAAAGGCTCAGCTTCGCCCCCTTGAAGCTTCTCGTCAGCAATGACTGTAGACCCTCTGTCCTCATAGCCTGGCAGCGGGCCTACTTTGACGCCGTTGAATTTGACGCCATTGAACGTTGCCCAAGTAGGTAAAACATCAATGGACTCTTTGAGCCACCCCTGGGTCCTGCCTCTTCGGATCATCGTAATCTTGATGTGGTAGATGAGGCTTTACAGCGCACGGGCGCGGCCCACTGCTACTCTGCGACACACAGGTTTTGTGGGTCGCCAAGGATCCCGCCTCAAACAGCGACAACTCTGTGGAGTCTGTACGATGACAGCTGACTGTTGACAGTTGGAGTAGCACAGGAGAAACAACAACGGCTCGATGGCTGCATGCGGTGAGGACGATCGCGATGCCGACGGGCTCTAGTGCGGGTCGCGCGAATTGTCCGCGATTACTGCAGCAATCGAGATGCAGGCTGCCTTTAGGAGTCCGTACACTGGACCCTGTGAGGTCATGCAGACACGACGACAGCTGCAGGTCCAAAGCCTCGAGCTGCTGGTTCCCTAAGAGACGGATACAAACAGAGTCGTAGCCGGCGGGACAAGAGATGCTGGCAAACGAAGAGATATGTCTCAGGACACCTATAGGCAGTGCGTCATGCAAACAGCAGGGAGGGCCTCACCATTTGTTGTGTTGTTGTGGTGCTTGGGCCAAGACGTCTAGAGTTGTTATGATGGCGTTGCGGGCATCCCGAAACCATGGAGTGGAGCTAGCGGGCGCGTCCGTGCGTCTGTAAACAACAACAACATGGAGGATGTGCTTAAACCTCCAACCATCCGCCGTCACACATCTTTACAGTTATTCCTTACTCCGACCGCAGCAGGACACGCAGACGCAGACGGCACTTCCGCCACCAGCCATACCGACGACGCATCTTCCCTTGCGCTGCGCTGCCGACATCGCTGCTCTCGTCCCAAGTCGGCATCTCGTCACCGTCCTTCCCCAGCTGTAGTCAACACCTGCGGGTCGCACCTTCTTCTTCGCAATGGCTTCACCACGCGATCGAGTGGCCAAGATGTCGCGCGCATCCACCACCAGCTATGGTCAGGTGATCGAGGTGAGCACCACAACACACACCAAAACAAAGCGACTGCGGGACCCGTTCTGATCGATTTCCTAGTACATCCAAGACAGACTCTACCTGGCATCCTACACAAGCCCGCCCGATGCGAACACTCCGTTCCCGTACCCCAAGCAGAGCCAATCGCCCTCCAAGCGGTCGTCGCGTGCGCAAGTAGGTCCTACTGCCGCCGGCCCCAAGGCGCACCCTCCCGTCTACTTTAGTATCGACAAGACGCTCCTGTACAACGCCTTCCACGGCGACTTCGGCCCACTGCACATTGGCCACCTCTACCGGTTCGCGGTACAGCTGCACGAAGTTCTGGGCGATCCTCTCAACGAGGACCGCGCCGTCGTCTTCTGGAGCAGCGCCGACTCGAGGAGTGAGCTACTCCACATTCCTCACTCAATAGCACCCGTTAACATGCCTAGGTCGCGCAAACGCTGCCTGCATTCTCGCATGCTACATGGTGCTCATCCAGTCATGGCCACCTCACCTTGCTCTGGCGCCCATTGCCCAGATGGACCCACCGTGCATGCCCTTCCGCGACGCCGGCTACAGCCAAGCCGACTATGTTCTGAACATTCAGGACGTCATCTACGGTGTATGGAAGGCCAAGGAAGAGGGCCTCTGCGGTCTTAAGGACTTCAGCCTCGAGGAGTATGTCTACCGAATCATGCCTACCAATCAATACTGACAGTTCTAGGTACGAGAAGTTTGAGCGCGTAGACATGGGCGACTTCAACTGGGTCACTCCCAACTTCCTCGCCTTTGCCTCTCCCCAGCAACAACCCACACACGAGATCCCGACCTCATCACCGATGTACGCGACGCTTCCCTCCAACATCGCCGAGATCCAGCGATCTGGACTTCCTGGTCCCTTCAAGAACGTGCTCTCGCACTTTTGCGCGCGCAACGTTGGACTCGTCGTACGCCTCAACTCGGAACTGTACTCCTCTTCATACTTCACCAAGCTCGGCATCCAGCACTTGAACATGATCTTCGACGACGGAACGTGCCCACCGCTGTCCCTGGTACGCAAGTTCGTCAACCTCGCCCACGAGATGATCACAGTGCAGAAGCGCGGCATCGCAGTCCACTGCAAGGCTGGACTGGGACGAACTGGCTGCTTGATCGGCGCGTACCTGATCTACAAGCACGGCTTCACCGCCAACGAGATCATCGCATACATGCGCTTCATGCGCCCGGGCATGGTCGTTGGCCCCCAACAGCACTGGCTGCACCTGAACCAGGGTACTTTCCGAGAGTGGTGGTACGAAGACCAGTTCAAGGCAAAGTATGCGCAGACCGTGCCATCGACGCCTACCAAGTCACCGCACAAGCAGCGCCTCGCTAGCAACGGGCAAACCTTCACACCGCCCAACGGATCGTCCAAGCGCGCCGCGCTCGGCGAGATCGAGTCGAACGAGCGAAGCAACTCGGGCCACATTGGCGTGTTGGAGGACAACCTGCCTGCGCCGACACCTGGACAGCCGCGAAAGACTAGCAAACTTTACGGCAACGGCTCGCGGTCACCACAGCGCATCGACGAGAACGAGCCCTTCACCAGGTCGCACACAGAGGTCAGAGCGGACATTACACGCTTCGATGGCGAGTCAGACGAGGAGTTCCACCTGCGCCAGATTGCGCGACGCACATCATCGCGCTCTCCTCAGCGCTCGCCAACCCTCAAGGACAAGCAGCGTCGCGCATTCAGCACCACGTCCGTCGTCCAAACGTCAGTAACCCACACCTCTTTCGGCTTCGGTGAGGAGAGTGATCTCGAGAACACTGCGCCAGCTGGCATACGGCCAAAGACGCCAAAGGAGAAGAGCGGCAGTGGCAGCATCAACATGGGCAAGATCCGATCGAGTCCCTCGCGCCGGAGCACCGACGGCAAGTCTGCTGTACGGAAAACCAGCGGTCGTGTTGGAAGCATGGGCAACGCCATCTCCCGCCCAAAGTCATGAGCATCGTCACTGGATTTTGCGTTTCTGATCCCGCATCTTCATTCCGGGAGTTCTAGCACGGCGTCTTGGGACACGACCTTCATCGTCACTTCGTTTCTCGACTCAGTCAATTCTTCGTCGAACAGCATGCCATCGGGCTTGACGCTACACATGTCGTCTGCGGGCGGGCGTTTTTGGATCACTACAAAGAGTGCATAACGGAGTTGGGTCATCATTCTGGGAGTTTACTGGGGGCGCATGGTGTGCTAATGTCTCTTTCTACTGTCTCATTACCCAGTCACTTGTTGCTGCATCTTTACTTTAGTCTTGTCCCTTTTCGCGGTAATCTGGCTGCGGATATGTTCATGACGTGTATGAGTTGATGACTACTTCTAATTGTCCAAAAACAATGGCATGTTCCTCTCAATCAAACTTGACTTGTCTGATGAATTGTGACAGTGACTTTTGCTTTGCACTATTGAAGAAAGATCTATTCTCAAATTTGGTTGACGAAGAATTGTGCTGCATACAAGTATCTATCCAACCCTAAGGATATGTCACCCCGATATCGATCAAGATAATACATCCAAGGGTCGTAGACGTTAGCTCTGCTATTTCTACTAAGCCCCTATATATTTGGTGGTGGCGGATAGGTGATAGGTCTCCAACCGAAGAAAAAAAAGTTGCATCTCGCCATCATAACCAGCAAAATATCTCGTTCATGCCAGTGTAGATCACTAATCGTGAGCGATATACGATCAGCACGGGACTCGAACCCGCAACCTTGGCCTTGGGATATCTGTAGGAGATAGGAGGGCCACGCGCTACCATTGCGCCAACCGACCGGTTGCCATGAAGAGTTCTTGTGGTGGGAGATGTCTATATAGCTGGCAAACCCCAGCACAAGCTTTCATGCTGGTGAGCCATAGGTCTAGTCGACATTGGCAGAGGATGTCTTGGGGTCTGATGTATCATAGCGGTGAAGTTTTTGCTGGACGATGTGGAGGGAGGTATGTAGGTGTGGGGATGTTTGGCCGAGAATTGTATAGCAGAGCCGGGATGCGCATTTCCCAATTGAGCTTTTGCATGTAAACGCCGGAGTCTCCCTTGCTTAGCTTGTTACGAACGGGCATCCGTGGATGAATCGTGCTTTCGGCAGAGCACAGATTGAATGAGGAGGTTGGTTGATTTGCACGCACGCCTAGATAAGATTAGACGGCGATGACGCGATCGACAATTTTTGGTTAACCTAAACCCCTTGCAGCCAGAACAGTAAACAATCATGTAATGGTATTCTGCTTACCCACACATCTTCCCATATATCAAGCACAAGTAGACATCGCAATAAACTCAGTAACCCGTAGTAACCACTGTTGTGGATTCCTGATTGCTGCTGTCCGGCAAGTTTCGGCAACTGAAATCTAAATTCCATCATCCGCACACAAGCAAGAGCGGCTTGCGACAAGAATTTCAAAAGACAGTAATTAGCATCAGTTCAACGACCATGGTATGCAAGCCAAGCGTTTTCGCGTAGTATGGACTACGACGAGCCTCGAATGCGTGGGCTGACAAAAGGGCTGGTGTTAGGTGCACGCCGACGCGTCCGATTTTGCCGATGGGATGAGTAAGAAGGAGGTTTATGAGCAGGTGCTTGAGCAAGCGAGGTCGCTTTTTGATGGGCAGAGGAATTGGGTGAGTAATTCTCAAAATCTCAAGAATAAGGGGGATGAATAGGATTGCTGACATTGTATAGGTCTGGTAAGCCACCATTCTTCTCATCCTCCTTACCCAGTCATAACAACAGAGTCATAACATCAACTACCAAACAGCAACTTCTCAAACACAGCATCTCTCCTCTGGCACGCCTACCACTCGCTGCCCTCTCCCTCCTCCTCCGTCAACTGGGCAGGTTTCTACTTCACTTCACCAACAAATGCGTCGCAACTCCTCCTCGGCCCTTTCCAGGGCCAGGTAGCATGCCAGACCATCAATTTCGGGCGCGGTGTATGCGGGACTGCGGCGAAAGAAGCAAAGACGCAGCTAGTGGCAGATGTAGAGACGTTTCCGGGACATATTGCGTGTGATGGGAGGAGTAGGAGTGAGATTGTTGTTCCGGTTGTGCAGGGTGGGAAGGTATGTTCTTTTCTAGCCATTGTGCTATTAGGAACATCGGTTTGCTAATGTAGATACAGGTTGTAGCGATTATCGACATAGACTGTGCGGAACTTGGCGGATTTGATGCTGAGGATCAGGCGGCTTTGGAGGAGTTAGCGGAGTTGTTGGCACAGTCTTGCGACTTTTGAAGTAAGGGCATAGGTATGATAAAGGAATTGTCAAGATAGGATAGAAAGAGATAAAATGGACAGGGTAGAGGGATTGGTAGAATCGTGCATTACTGCAAATCGGAACTGTAATTACACTAAACGCGTTGAAGCAAATACAACGGGTTCAAGGACGCGTCTGGGTGGAACATGGACGCGGCCGCGATTTCTGAAGATACGCTCAATGGATCACGTTGAAAGACCGGGACGCTGTGCATATTTTCCATCCATAAAGCCCTCGCTACTTCATCAGATTCTTGTCATATGTCAGTGCTGTGTCGACAAACCATACTCGCCTCTCTACACAAAAGGTTCCCTTTTTCCAGCCATGATTGAATCAACGTCCTTCAATATCCGACGGCCGCGTGCCGTACTAGCAATTTCTCTTTGCATATTGGCCATGTAACGTCTGTGGTTCTCTTCCTCTATCTCGCATGCCATTTCAGATACCCATCTTCCTTGAACATCCCTGAATATCTCTATCTCGTCCTTTTCTGTGGGGTCCCTAATACGTGGTCGGGTTGATTGCGGGATCTTACAGAAGACTACGCCCCACCCGCGTACACTCGATATATGTCTCCATACCCAGCGGAACTTTTCGTCGCGACAGATCTTGTTGTTGTTCATGCCTGCACCCGTGTGCAACCGAAACTGTTCGATTCTTTCACCGAAGAGGAGAACCCATCTTTTGGGTCTCGGTATTGAGCCAGCCGTCTCGGCAAAGCATGCCATCTGACTGGCTAATCTCCGTGTCGCGTGAATATATGGATGTGTTCGGTAGAATTGGTACGTATCGGGTTTGTTGTGTAAGTGGATAGTGAGAGTATCAAACCAGAATTTCCTGAATACGAGGAATGGGTCGTTGGAACCGAACATATACGCACGCGTACGATAGCAAATAGTGAGGTTGCGCCAGCCGCAGAAAGAGTCAGGTGGAGTGTACACCATCTCCTGTCCAGTGCGTTGGCGTACATCATCGGCTACCTCAGAGATGGCAGTGGCCATGCGTTTGCAAATCTCTGGTTCGAGCTCATGTTGTATTGTCTTGCAGCTGTAGAGAAGACCGGTAAATTGTGTTGGTGGACTATCAGATTTTAAAGGGATGATGGGTACAAGTTCGTCGTAGATACGCAAGCGCAATTCGCAAGGGAGCCCCAATAGAGGGCTGAGCTGGAGCACGGTATCTTCCATGGCGCGTCGAGATGTTGGAAGGCAGGGAAGTAGGTCTAGAGACTACTCCAAGATGAAGACATGCAAAGTGGGTGACCTGACGTCGATGTAGCCTCCAGGGTGTTCAGCTCTTTTCTAGGTTGACGTGGAAGGAAGTTTGTTGATGTTGACGATGCGCCCGCCCCACTTTAACGGTGTCACGTGCGGACCCGTTATTCGATCTCGCGCTCAGCCATCCAAAGCTGCCCGCTCTCCATACACCGGCGCAACACCAACATGCCATCCTCGGACTACACGGCGGCCACAGGCGGCGCGCTGAAACTCAAAGGCGGCGGCGGCGTCGACAAAAAGAAGAAAAAGAAGAAGCCAAAGACTACCGAATCCACAAAACCCGCCGAAGACACGTCCACCGGTGTCGCGAAACAATCAAACACCGACGATGACGCGCGCAAATCACCTTCAGGCACACCCGGCCGCTCGATGTCACCCGAAACTGCGGAGCGATCGATACGAGACGGCGGCGGCAGGCAGAAGACAGAAGCGGAAAGACGGCATGACGAGATGCGAAGGAAGAGAATGGAGGAGAGGCTGAAGAAGCAGGGAGTCAAGACACACAAGGAGAAGGTGGAGGAACTCAACAAGTACCTGAGCGGACTGAGCGAGCACCACGACATGCCCAAGATCGGACCCGGCTAACGCGCTTGGGTGGTGGCCGGCTGCGACACTACGGCGGATATCTGCTGCACACGAAGGCATCTCAAAGACTACTCACGACGATGCGACGAATATCCGACAGATCAAAACAACGAACTACTCCGAGAACGTCATGCCTTCATCTGCTATGCGTGGGGATGGGCCATAGGGAATGTCTGTGACTCTGTACCCGGCACAAGGACATTGACAGGAGATTGGATGGATACCTTGTCGACGGTTTTTGATACTGTGTGTATAAATATCATGGAATTGTACACCCACAATCTGATACTTGTAACAGTCATCTGAACCCTCAAAAAGAGCAACGAATTGCAGACTTGTACTTTTGATACACGGTACAAAAGAGCATTCTCTAACCTTTGATAAGCTCGAATTCTTCGGTCTTGCGCCAGTGCGATGAATGCAGCACTTCATCCAAGGAATAAACTGAATCCCGGGGCCTACGTTGAAGTTGGGCTCACTACTTTCCAAGCTTTCAGACTGATGTAAGCTGCAGACCTGTTCGGCTTTTCTTTGTGTGAGGTGGCAGCGGCTCCTCAATTTAACTAGTCAAGTCTGCAAGCATAAGCCAGGTACCGGTGGCTTTAACTGGGCGCATGCTGACCGCGTCTACGCGCTTGAAACATTTCAGAAACCATCTCCATTGGATGTTGTGATCCGCTGTCAGCCTTATCGGTGCACAAAGCCTTGTGAGGACACAACTCTTAGGCTCTCGAGATGGTCACATGTGCAAGTTTCACGCCTCGAGTACACCCACCTGCCCAAAAGACATTCAAAAGACCGCATGGGATGACGCTCGGGTCAGCTCAGAGCACTCCGGTCTTCGTGCTTCCAAATCGGTGCATATCATTGGAGGAACGAGAGTCTTGTGCCATCAGTCGGAACCAGTATACGAATCGCCACGGTTATCTGCAGGCTGACGACTCCAATCAAACCCTTGCACGCAGTCTGGCGACACATCTGGCCGAGTAGATTGCGCAAATTGTCTGTGCAGTGACCGCATCAGCGCGGGAGGGGCGGGGGCGTTCTCGCACAGAACGCACGTCTTGTTCCCGCCATTCGTGGAAGCGCATCGCGAAAGTCGTGGTCCAGAGCCATCTCGCGCTTCTCATCCCACTGGAGTCGAGACGGAATGCGCGAACGCGTAGTGACAGCGATACCACCGCAGTAGGTCCGCGCGCTAGAATGTGTTCTAGAAAGGCGTGCAATTCGCACGACTCCCGATGCATCACCCCTAGTAAGCCCACGATAGTGGAAACTGTTCTGATGGGTTGTAGCTTGGATCCACCTGCCGAGAATGCTTAGCGCGAGCTAGGGCGCCCGATAGCTGCTTGCTTCAGCGCCATTGAGGCTTGTCTCAATGCCAAATCGCACCTTAAGCGAGTTGGAACGCCCGGCGCCCCATCCTGCGGTCGCGTGCTGGTCGAAGGCGCCTCGGTGTATCGAGAGGTTTGCTTGACAACACTCTGTACGAACAGTATCTGCGACGTGTGAACAGCAACGAGAAAAGGCTGGTTGTTGTACGATAATTCGCAAGCAGGCATGCATGCCGTGCATAAGCTGTACCCCTCTTTGAGTAGACAAGGCTTGTATCGAAGCTTGTCACTCCAACGTCTACCCCAGTACAGCGATCCCATCCTTATCAGCCCCGGGCGAGGTTAAGGCAATTCAAGGCGGCATAGCCCATACCGAACGGCGACACCGTCTGCATCTTAATCGTATCATTCGCTCCCAATCACACCATTGACCAGTAGGCTTTCCAGACCACACCGGAGCTGCGCCGCGACTAGTCTGCAGAATGTCAGTCGCCGCTGGGGTCCAGCCCATGCTCTGCTTTTGCGAGCGGTTCCCGGGTGCTGGGACGAGGGTGCTGCGAAGTTGAGAAGGGAACCCTCGTAGGCGCGTGGGTATAAAGGCCGTTTCGTACCCCCATTCACCCGGCTTGCAAGGCTATCTTCTCTCGCGCCTCTACCCTTCTTGTGCTCTCCTGGGTTCTTTATCCCTGGTAGACTCAGGCTCAGTCTTCCACTTCGCTGAGTATACCTCTTGGTGTTCTTATCTCCCTGTCGCCCGATATGTCGGTCAACGACTACGAAAAGCAGCAGTATGTTGCGGGCGAGAGTCCCTCTGACCATGCTGTGGGCGATGTCCACGACATCAAGGACCACGCCCTCAACGAGGCTGCTGGTGTCTACGGTTCCGCTCAGAAAGCCGAGGACTACGGCTACGTCCAGAGAGGTCTCAAGTCGCGCCACATCCAGTTCATCGCGCTCGGAGGTACCATCGGTACTGGTCTGTTCCTCGGTATTGCCAGTGCTTTCGCCAATGCCGGTCCCGTCTCTGTCCTTCTTGGTTATACCATCACGGGTGTCGCCGTCTTCGGCATGATGCAGTGCCTTGGAGAGATGGCCACATGGCTCCCGCTTCCCGGTGCTATCCCGCAGTACGCTGCTCGCTATGCGGACCCCGCTCTTGGTTTTGCCGTCGGTTGGAACAACTGGTACAACAGCTCCATTACACTCTGCGCCGAGATATCTGCTGCCGCTCTCTTGATCAACTTCTGGGACCAAGAAGAGAAGTAAGTATAACGGTCCAATCGAGTCCCAACACTTTCTGACTCCAGTTAGGTACAATCCTGCGATATGGATCTCCATCATCATCGTTATCATCGTCTTTCTGAACATCTTCGCCGTCTCGATTTACGGAGAAGCCGAGTTCATCTTCGCATCCATAAAGATCATAACAATCATTGGACTGCTCCTTGCTGGTCTGGTTATTATGCTCGGTGGAGGTCCTGACCATGACAGGCGAGGATTCCGTTATTGGAAGGAAGGTGCGATGAAGGAGTACGTGGGCACCGGGAATACGGGTCGCTTCACAGGTCTCTGGTCTACACTTGTCAACGCAGCGTTCTCGTACGGTGGTGTTGAGATGGTTGCAGTCGCTGCTGGTGAAGCCGCCGACCCCCGCAGGAACAGTAAGCAACGTCTTGTCGCGAGTCTTCATATAACGATCACTGACCTTGTACCTCTCTAGTCCCCAAAGCCGTTCGCCGTGTCTTCTGGCGTATCCTGTTCTTCTACGTCCTGGGATCGTTCATCATCGGTACCTGTATCAGCTCAAACGACCCTCAGCTCACCGACGAGAACGCCAAGGGTGCTCAGTCATCCCCCTGGGTCATCGCCATGAAGAACGCAGGCATTCCCGTCCTCCCCCACATCGTCAACGCTGTCATCTTGACATCCGCAACCTCATCTGGCAACGCTTTCCTGTACACCGGATCGCGCTATCTCTTCAGTATCGCACAGAACGGCCAAGCCCCACAGTTCCTCCTCAGGTGTAACAAGAAGGGTGTCCCTGTCTACGCTGTTGCAGTCACAGCCTCAATCTCGCTACTCACATACATGAGTGTCAGCGCTGGTGCCAACAAGGTATTCGGATGGTTCCAGAACTTGACCACCATCGCGTCGCTCTTTACCTGGTGCACCATCACCTACACATACACCCGGTTCCGTGCGGCATGCATTGCTCAGAACGTCGACCGCAGCACCATGGTCTTCGCTAGCAAGTGGCAGCCATACGTTGCGTGGACCGCCTTCGCTTACTTCGCTCTCATTATCCTCTTCAATGGCTTCAAGGTCTTCACAACCACTCCTTGGGGACCCGATGAGCTGACCAGCTTCTTCACTGCCTACATCGGCGTTGCCATCTTCGGTCTCCTCTATGCTTTCTGGAAGATCTTCAAGCGGACCAAGATGGTCAACCCGGCCGAGGCGGATATCTGGAGCGGCAAGGCGGCGCTTGATGCGGAGGTTTGGCCTGAGCAGATCCCGCGCAATGCTCTTGAGAAGTTCTGGTTCTGGCTTTGCTAGACGGGTGACGGTGGTATTCACTTGGGTGGTGTCTTTGCCTTGTCGAAGTCGGTGTATAGAAAGGACATGTTTGTAGCGACTATTATGTTGAATGAATCGTATGAACAACTATATTTTGAGAAGTGAGGAGAGCTCAACAGTAGTTTTTGTGATCTGAATTACTATACACCCAAGGCGCTAGTCGCGCCCTACGCTGACGAAGGTTTGCCGTCGGGCAAGGCGTGGTGCGCCTTAACCAAATACGCGGGGCGCGATTTTCTCCACAGCGCATGTCAGCATTCACGCATTTGACAGAACTCTCAACCCCGGCTGCTATGAATTGTTGCTTCGAGATAGTACTCTGGTGCTGTGTTGACGGATTTAATGGTCGCCCGGCATATCTCCGTCGTATTGCTTTGCTGCCCATCACATGCAATGTCGTCACGAGGCACCGTTTAATTGACCAATACTCCGATCCATGCGACAAGTATTGGGGTGCCTGAACGCGTATGCAGTGTATTCATAGGTACTTCCAGCTCATGTCGTAGTGTCGTAGATGCCGTGGGTACTTGCAGACTCTCGTGCGACAGTCGTACACAGAGTGTAGTCTTTCGATACAACAGTCCAAATGTACGGACAGCAAGTTTCCTAGGGATTGCTCCGAGACGCTAGAGCGGAGATCGTGTGTCGCGCATTGCGGGCTCAATATTTAGCCACAAGTCATCCACTAGACCCACAGGTTTGCCTGATTGGTGCTTCGCGTGTCAGACCCTGTCGCGCGACCTTCGATCAACGGCTTCCCAGGCATCCACGTTCGTCATACATCGACTTTACTGACACCAGCGGACCGAGTACTCAAAGTTTGTCGCACATAATCAGCGACCGTCATTCTCCACTCCAGCGCGTGTCTCCGACAGGCCCTCACAGGATCTACCGGCAATTGCATGCGCTAGTCGATCTTCCATTGATTACAAACATGGAATTGCGCAGTTAGCAACGTCGAATCTGGATCAAAGACGTTATGCGTGCGCATCTCAAGACGACAGTCATTCGAATATACCACCCTACTACAAGCGGCAACTTTGCCGACGTCAACCAGAATGTCGGGCCTTGGGGATGATACCAAGTCGC